CCCGTTGAATCTTAACTGGGTCTTTTGTTTTTTTTTTCCTCAAGGAAGGCTTTGCGAAGGCATTATCTAAACATTATAAGGAAGGCACGACTCCCGACCCTCAGTTTTTGCGAGASGCGAAGGAATACGTCAAGGCGGTACACGGCTTAGCCAATACGTTAACGGGGTGGATTGATGCTATCGAAAAGCATCAGGAGCGCAAGAGGAGGGCGGCGTTTGTGTTATCGCGCCGAGCCAGAGAACGGGCCCGAGTGAAGCAGGCATTGGTGGATCCAGAACGAGGGCGTACGAAAGTGTATGTCATAGAGGAGTACGGTGTGGGCAATCGTTTAGTGTTTTCTCACCATGGCATCAGGCAGGAGCACCAGGAGCTCGTCTCTGATTAAGAGTTGTGCTCGCTCGGTGTTTGCGGTGAACGTGCCCATGAGGACGCGGGTCATTTCGTATCGGATCGAGACGAGGTCCAGCTTGGAACAGGCCGGTCGCCAACGTAGGCCGTACGTGGGGCACGACGACGATGACGACGACGACGACGACGACGACGACTTGGACGAGGGAGGAGAAGAAGGAGAAGACGAATGGGGGGTGCGATGGGTGGAACGTTTATTTGATCAAGTTATGGAACGCATTGCCGGCGAGGAAGGATTGACGGCGCGGGATCAAGTAGGCATGACCCTGTACGGTGGGGACTTGGAATACCCGGTGTCGTTGGCCATACGCCCGTACCACACGCCTCAATTTCAAAGGCTGATGTTGACCAACGCCATCGAAATGATTCARCAGTCYAAGAGGGAATGGATGYTGGGTCGATCGTTGGACATTACGGTGACGGTGATCAAAGACGTGAAGGGACGAGGACGGGTGTGTACGACGACCATCATGACTCCTGAACTGTTGCGGGATCGGTTGGAAAGGGGAGTGCTACGGAAGCCGCCGGCGGCGGTGGGATCGAAGGTAGCGGAACACGTGATTCAGATCTTAGCGTGGCGAAGCGTGAGAACGAGGGACGAGGTGAGGCAAGAGTTGGAGGTGCAGCACGAATGGACGTGGGAAGAAATATTGACGCGTTGGTGCGTCGTGCACCCTACCACGAACATCTTGGTCCTTTGCCAAAAGGGAGGYCCGGGAGCGCATCACGAGGTCATCTGGAAAAGCGTGTACAGCAGCGAAACGGAGGGATGGGTGATGTGGCTGGACGAAGGAGACCCCGCGATGCTGGACGTCGTGTCGCCCGATACGTTGTATGGGGAGGCCAGGGTCTTGCACCATCGGTTGTGCTTGAGGTGCGGCATGATTTATCGTCATCAAAGAACGCATGCCTGCAGTGAAAAAAAGGCCTTAACCAAGTACCAATTGGGCAAGAAGAGGCCGCACTACAAGGCCACGGAGGAAGCCAAGCGGCGTAAGGTCTCGAGGGTCTTTGACGACGAGCACGAGAATTGCCTGGGTAGGGCCTTGTACCGGGCGCTGAAGGGGATGGGGTTGGAAGTGACGGTTGAAGGAGGGTACGAGAAGTCGTTGCAGGATTGGTACGGCGAGATGGGCATGGAGGACACCTGGGATCAAGCGTGTGGGTTGGACGACGTCAAGCGGTGGTGTGCGAGCATTAACGAGGGCTACGCGACGGATGAAGAACACGGATTCGAGTTGTGCGTGTACGACGAGAAGAATCGGTACGTGGTAGCCTCGTTTGGGAGCAGTGTAGGAAAGAGCAAGGGCACGTTGACCCCCATTTACTTGAATTGGATGGACGAACACTTCATGTGGATCGAGTCGATGGCGGGGTGGTTGGGACGGGTGTACTTCTGCACGCAATGCAATAAGGGGTACAGCAATAAGGAAACACACAAGTGCGTACGTCCTTGCTTGAGGTGTGGGGAAGAGAGGAACGACCACTACATCAAGTATTCTAACGAACGCATCACGTGCGACGCATGTCACGTCGGGTTTTGGTCCGGTGTGTGTTACCGTTCGCACCTGATGCGACGTCACAAGGGGTCGTTGGCCTATACCACCTGTGAACGACGGTACGTGTGTCGGGAGTGCAAGACCACCGTGGATCGGATGCGCTACGATCGAAAAAATAGGGTGTGGTACATGGTCGACGATCACGTCTGCTACGAATACGATTGCTTGGTGTGTCGGGAGGAGAAAGTAAAGCGAGGAGAACACTTGTGCTACGTCAAGGGGGTGAGCAGCGATCCTACGGAAGGGAATGCACGACCCAAGAAGAATAAGAACGAAAAACGTAAGTTCTTTCTGGCGTTTTTTGACTTCGAGGCTCGGTGCCTGGAGGAACGTCACGTGGTCAACAAAGTGGTAGTGCTGCTGACGTGCCACGAGTGTGCTTCTCACGTGGAAGAGTACCGGGTACGAGGATGCGCGGGAACGTGCGGCCGACAACGGATGTTCGTGTTTGACGATGCCTCGGCCTTCATGGATTGGTTGTTGGGACCCAAGCGCGACGTGCATGCCTTGTACACGTTCATGGCCCACAACCTCAAGGGGTACGACTCGTACCCTATCCTGGAGGAGTGCGTCAAGCGAGGCATCAAGCCCAAGTGCGTGTACCAAGGGAGTAAGGTCATGACCATGACGCTGGAAGGGATCGTGTTTAAAGATTCGGTGTGCTTTATTCCCATGGCCTTACGCAAGTTCCCGGCCACCTTTGGAACCTCGGGAGGCGACAAGGGTCACTTTCCTCACTTCTTTAACACGTTGGAGAATACGCAGTACGAGGGCCCTTACCCCGCTCCCGAGTATTACGGCGTGGACGACATGGACGTCCGCGAGAAGGAGAAATTTATGGAGTGGTGGCACGAGCAAGAAGGCAAGACGTTCGTCATGAAAAAGGAAATCGAGAAGTATTGCATCCAAGACGTGATGGTGATGGCCCGGGGATGTCTAAAGTTTCGGGAGCTTTACGTCGACAAGTTCGACGTGGACCCCTTTGCTGAGTGCGTCACCATTGCCTCGACCTGCCTGACGGTCTTCAAGAAGAACTTTTTGGAATCGGAAGTGATGGGCGTCGTACCGCCGTTGGGCTATCGTCAGCGGGACATCCAATCGGTCCAAGCCCTGGAGTGGTTGCACTCGTTGGGGCTGCCTGAACTGCGTTGGGCCGGAAGTACGCAGGGCGAGGTGACCTTGCAAGGCAGCAAAGTGGACGGGTACGATCGTCGAACCAACACCGTGTATCAATTCCACGGGTGTTTCTACCACGGGTGCGAAGTGTGCTTCAAGCGAGGTCAAGTTCATGCTCATCTGGGCGTGACCATGGGCGATCTGTGCGACAAGACGCGGGAGAGAACGTTGGAACTGCGTGCCGCGGGGCATCACGTGGTGGAAATGTGGAGTCACGTGTGGGATGCGGAACGCGAGTATCACGTGTTCCCCGAGTGGATCAAGAACTTGGACCCCATACAGCCTCGCGAAGCGTTGATGGGAGGACGTACCAACGCCGTGGGACTCTACGCGTACTGCGAGGGGGAGGTCCAAGTCGACGAGTCGGACGACGAGGCCATGGCCTTGATGTTGTGCTCGGACCCCGTGCATCGCATACGGTACGTGGACGTGGTGTCGCTGTACCCTACGGTGATGTGGGAGGAAGAGTACCCCATAGGCCACCCCATGGTGTACTTGGGTGAAGACTTGGACTTAGACCCCGAGGAGATTGCTGATTGTATTCTGGACGAAGAGTGGTTTGGCTTGGTCAAGTGCGACGTCGACCCTCCCCGCGGATTGTTCTTCCCCGTGCTTCCGCGCATCGCCGACCACAAGCTGATGTTCACGCTGTGCGCGGCTTGCTGTGACGAAAAGGACGTGGACGAGGGTGGAGAGTGCACGCACACCCTAGAAGAGCGGCGTTTGCGGCACGGCGTGTGGACGACCCCCGAGTTGAAGGAAGCGCTGAACCAGGGGTACGAAGTGGCKCAGGTGCACGAAGTRTGGCACTACCCCGAACGCAGCAGCGACTTGTTTCRATCGTACATTCGTGAAAATCTRAAAATGAAGATGGAAGCCTCGGGGTGGCCGTCCGATTGCGACACGGAAGAAAAGAAGCGGGAATTCATGCGGTCCGTGAAGGCCAGTCAGGGCATCGATCTTCAGTACGAGAACGTCGTAAAAAATCCGGGGCTGCGTTCGGTGGCCAAGTTGAACCTGAATTCGTTGTGGGGCAAGTTCGGACAGAATCCGTTTCGCTGCAAGGTCGAGTACGTCACGGAACCTTGCCGCTTCWTCGAACTGCTGCACGACGATACGGTCAACGTGAAGACGGTGCTGCTGTTGACGGGCGACATGGTACAAGTTAACTACGACGTGCACCGCGAGTCCACGGTGTGCAACCCCAACGGCAACGTCGTCATCCCTGCGTTCGTGACGGCCTGGGCCCGTTTGCGGTTGTACGACAAGCTGAGTGCTTTGGGGGACCGCGTGCTGTACCATGACACGGATTCCATCATCTACAAGACGGCGCAGGAAGGGGACGAGGAACTGGACACGGGGGATCAGCTGGGGCAATGGTCGGACGAATGCGGCGATTCGGACACCAACTGGATCGTGGAATACGTGTCCTTGGGCCCCAAGACGTACGCGTACCGCACCAAGAAGGACGAGTGCGTCGTGAAGTGCAAGGGCATCAGCTTGACCCCCTGTGCCAAAGAACTGGTCCACCTAAAGAGCATGAAACGTCTGCTCGTCCAAGAGAAGGAAAAGGTAACGGTGAGTTACCCGCGCAAGATCGTGAGGGACAGCACGCACAAGGTGCTGCGAACGGTGCCCATGGACAAGGACGTTCGCTTGGTCTATACCAAGCGACAACGTATCGACCAAGGCCTGACTACGTTGCCTTATGGTTATTAAAGGTCCATAAAAGAAGGGGGACATAAAGGGAGACGTGATCGTCGTCATGACTCAAATCGCCGCAGGACGAATCGGACGTTGGTTGGCCAAGAAAGCCGCCGCCATCGTGTCGGGAAGCAACGAAGAAGATCAGCCTGATGGCGACATCAGCAACAACCGCATCGGGTGCGGACGTCAAGCACGCATCCGATGCTGCCTCTCGTCGTGCTGCGGGGGATCCATCGTCATCCACGCGCAAAGGTCGATCCGCCGCTGGAAAGACGAGAGGGAAGAAAGGAAAGAAGAGCATCGCAGTCGCCGCCGCCGCCACGGTGGCCAGCAAGAAACAAGCGTCCAAGTGGTACAGTCGGTATTTCGAAGTGGGGGCGCAACACCCCCAAGCCCTAGCGGGAACCTCCGCGTTCTTGTCCGACCCCGGCGACGTCTCCAAGGGACCTCAAGCGAAAGCCATCAAGAAGAAATGGCTGGAAGCGCAGACGACACACCAAATTCATCGCCCAGCACGGCGTAATTATCCTCGTCGTCCCTTTGTCGTGTTTTCCATGGACGAGCAATGGCAGATGGATTTGTCGGACATGACGTGGGACAAACCGGCCAACGATGGGATGGGGTGGATCTTGTTCGTGGTCGACGTGCTGTCTCGGTACTGCTGGGTACGACCGCTGAAACGGAAGACGGGGGAAGAAACGGCGCGGGGCATTCGCGAGATCTTTGAGGAAGTGGCCCAAGACCCGGACAAGAAACATACGTTGCCTCGTACCGTGTACGTAGACAAGGGGAGCGAGTTCTACAACAAGGACGTGAAAGACTTGTTTGCCAGCTGCCCCCTTCCACCCAAGCTCATGTCGGGAGAGTCCACCACCAAGGCCGCCATCGTGGAACGGTTGCAGCGGACGTTGAAAGGACGGCTGTGGAAGTACTTCTACGAAAATGGGACCCGACGGTGGGTGGACGTGATTGGTCCGTTGACGGAGTCGTACAACCATCAGCGACACGGCACGTTGAAGCAATCGCCGGCCTCGGTCCATCGCGGCAACGAAGGGGAGGTGTGGAAAAAGTTGTATGGCGAGTACGGCCCCGAACGAGGAGCACGACAAAAGCTCAAGGGGCCTTACAAGTTTAATTTGGGCGACGTGGTCCGGATCAGCCGTCAAACCACGATCTTCGACAAGGGCTATTTGCCTCAATGGTCGGAAGAATGGTTCAAGATCCGTGCCCGCGATCCCGGCCCTCCCGCGTACTACCGCTTGATGGACTACGACGGCGAGGACATATTAAAGGGCACGTTTTACGAAGAGGAGCTGCTCAAGGTCGAAGACGAAGAAATAAAGCACATGCGTTATCGCATCGAGAAGATACTTCAACGCAGGACGGACCCCGCTACAGGTCGTCCCCAAGTGCTGGTGAAATATCAAGGGTGGCCTGAAAAGTACGCCAATTGGATTGACGAACGTCAAGTCGAAGATTTGGGCCCCAAAAAGAAACCATGAGGTTGGAACGCAAACCGTTTGTCTACTGGTTCAACAGCAAGCCCGATCCCGAGTACCCCCAAACCAAAGACAACACTGCCTCAGAATTCGTGGTCCAGCTGCCCATAGGATGGCACTTGCCAGGCGTGTGGTCGGTGGAAATCCAAGCCATCATGACCCCCGAAACCACACAGACCAAAGGAGACTTGCTGCTGTACACGAATCTCATTCGCTACGAGATCGTGGGCCACGATTATTTTCCGCTGATCGAGCGCATTACCACGTCTTCCGCCCAAGCCATCCGCTACCAAGAATCCAAGCATCTCTTCCGCCGACGCGTCAACCGCAGTTACCTAGAGAGCGTAGGATTTAAATTGGCCGACACCAAGGGTCGCCCGCCAGTCTGGCTAAAAGACAGACCTACTAAGGACACCACCCTTTGCCTTCTCTTCACCCCTCAAGTCGACGAGTACGATTCTTCCTCCATGAGCTTGACACTCCTGTCCAACCAATCCAAACCTCGCTTTCCTTCCAACCGACCAGGGAACTTTACAGGAGAACTACCCGCCTCTCAAAGAATGAGTGATCAATGGAGAGTAGGAATGACCAAGGTGACGCTGCCGCCCGTGGCCAGCACGTCCAAGTCCACGCAATGGACCTTTAGGCTGGATGCAGGAGGCTACCTCAAGAGCAAGCTGCCTCCTGGGGCGCAGCACACGTTTACCCTAAGCGACGTCAACAGCACTCAAGACTTGTGTGCTCAATTCAAGAAAGGCGTGGATGCCGTGTTCGACAGTTGGTTCGTTAAAAGCAAATGGGATGGCGGAGTTGGAGGAAAAACAGGAAGCCCTGGTATTCAAGGAAGTGATGACAATCATATAGCCACGTTTATAGATGATTCTTCAGGAAGCGACGTGCTTATGGCCATGATTGTTAAAGGAAGAACGAATTTGGATGATTTACACCAGTTATTCATTGCCAATGGAGTTGAAATAAATGCTGATAAGTCTAAAACCAAATGGGATCTTACAAGCAATCACAGCGTGTTGGTAGGACACAATGCACCAACAATGAATATCGCAATGATGAGGTTAGGCCTTGGCAACGACAGCCCCATGGAGACACCAATATCTGGAACAATGCAACAAGACGGTACGACTCAGTGGCATTCCTTTGTTACGCCCTTCAAACTCGATGACACTGAGGACCATTCTTTTGTATATCTCATACAATCCAGTCTTGAAGTGAGTACGTCAAACCGCTTTTACTTGAAAATGGGGTTTTTCGAGCGTTTAGGACCCATACGAAATCCTGCAATTCCTAATGGACCAGGAGAAAACGTTACTCCCAGCGAATTGTACCTCACCATGCCCAAAGGGTTCTACGATTTGATGAATTTTAACAATGGGTCTAGTGCTGGACTGGAGTACGAAAGTGTGGATGCCGCCGTCATGGGTCCAGGCGAATTCGTGAGAATCACGTGCAAGGAAGGATGGAGACCTTCAGGTCATGTCGAGTCCGATCAGAAGACCAATACGGAGCCGCAATCCAATCGCGTGGGACGTATCCAGGGGTATCAATATACCCAGCTTCGAGGCAACAAGGACGTCCTCAATTCTCAAAGTGGTCCCTACGCTATTGACGTGATCACCAACACCAAGGCCATTCCCAAGAATGCGTACGTGACCTGCAGTCTAGTCCACAACCAACACGTCGGCGATCAGAACATCCCTCTCATGGACGTGGTTCCCCTCTCGTCCGTGTCCATGGGTGCTGCAGCCGAACCCAAGGAATACGTGTTCGAACCCCAACACGTTAAATACTACCCCCTCTCCAAGAATGCGTACCAGATCGTGGCCTTTGCCGTACAAGACGAAGCAGGATAAGAGCTTCCCTTCCTCAATTCAGGAGTAACCACCGTATCGTTGGATTTCAAGAAAGGACCATGAACATTCCCATTTACGTTCCCCAAGAAGGAGGCGGTAACATTCCCGTCTATACCCCTCGACAAGCCGGAGGAGGACTAAGCATTGGACGGTTGGGGCGTGGGGCCATGCAATACGTTCTACCCAAGATCAATGCTGTAAAAGACGCTGCCGTGGACCGAGGAGGCAAAGCGTTGGCTAACGTGGCCTCGGAGGTACTGGAAGGTAAAGATTTGAAAGAAGCCCTCAAAGACGAAGCGACCGAAGCTCGAGTCGACTTGAAACGAAAGATAGACGCCGAAGCCAGCAAAGTGGGAAGCGTCAAGAAAAGCATCAAGAGTTCTGGATCCAAGTACGCCAAATCTACCCTAAACGCTTTGTTCGACTAGGAAACATGAATCAAGCCCGACTGATTACTGAGAATGGCGTATTCAAGCGTCTCAGCGAAGAGCGGTATACCAAGTACATTACGTACCGTATGACCCATGGACCTCAACAAGGCATACGGACTAAAGAAAGAGACATTGTTAAAGCTTACGATATTTTTGTCAAGATGTACGATGGACGCATCGCTATGGTCGTAGATTAAAGAGAAAGAAGTAAAGACGACACCGTGTTCGTTTCATTGATTTTTTTTTATTTCACAACTAGGGGAGTATAACTTGGGGGAAGGGTTTGTTGGAATCTTTCAAGTCTTCAGGGAAGGGGTCCAACGACAGTCGGTACTCGTCGGGCGTGGATTGATCAAAGTCCATGATGAGCGGACGAAACGGTCGCTTGCTGGCTTCCTCCAAAGCACGGTTCAACCACTTGGCTTGACCCGGAAACGCTTGACGCGCCAAGGCTTGCAGCTGAGACTTGTCTCGAGGATTGCGAAACAGCACGATGCGGTGRGCGTTGAGGGAGGCGGTTCGCATGTGGGCGGGAAACACGTTTTGCATGAGCACGACCAAACTCACGTCCATGTGGTGGGTTCCCTTGGTAAACCATTTCGAGATCTGACGATGATCCGATTCCATCTCTCCCATCAGGTCGTCCGCGATCAGCAGTCCTGGGGTTCGCTTGAATAGGGCATAGGGGTCGTCTGGCAATCCTTTGACCCACTTAACCTCGTCTCCAAATTCTTTTTTCATGTTGTCGTACTCGTCTTGCCATATGCTGTACAAGTACACCACGTACTTGATGGGGGGATCGAACTTCCACGTCCGATGACGAATCATCTTGCGGATGAACCGCGTCTTGCCACTCTTGGAGGGTCCGGCCACGACGATGTTGCACGGATGCTGCCATCGTGAGTTAAACGGTTTGATTGCTTCTACGTTCATGATAGTTTCTTTCTCTTGGCGTCGCGAAGAAAGCGAATGTACTGATCCACTACCTCGTGAGGGGTCTTGTTATACCCTCCCTGTTGACTGTGTTTCTTGCGACGAGGTTTGGATTTGGACACTCGCGATTTTCGCTTGCGCCGCAGTACGCCGCCTTCAATCGTCGCGTCATCGCCGCCATCATCATCATCGTCGTTGTCGCTGCCGGGACCGGGGAAGGTTTGGCTGTTGTGCTCGCGTTCCACCACAGGCCGCTTGCCTCGACGGACCGTGGTCACGGTGGTGGTATTGGCAATGGTTTGATGATCCCCTTTGCCTAATTTTTTGCTCAAGGCTTTCGATACGGTATCTTGATCCGCGTTCTTGAAGCGTTCCCCATGATCGTCATTAGCGTCGTCATCGTCGTCGCCACCACCATCGTCATCGTCGTCACCATCGTCCCCTCCGGGATCGTCCCACCCTCGGTCATCATCCCCGCCGTTCCTCCTGTCTTGCTCGGCTTCCTTACGCAGCTGCAGTCGTCGCGCTAGGGCTTTTTCCAGGGCATAGCGAATCCGCATTTGAGACGTTTCGTCAAACTTGCTTTGATCGGTAGCTTCCAATTCCTTGACGTATTCTTCCACTTCGTCCAAGTTCATCCTTTTCTCGCTTCGATTGCCTCGCCATCGACCGTCCACCCGCATCATCACGTTCTTGATGGTAGGCGTCAAGGTCTCTTTCACCTGGGGGTACTTCTCCGCCAACGATTTCAAGGCCTCGGCGTACTCGCGCAATTCCTCCTTGTTCATCTGATCCAACGTAGCGTCCGGCAACGACGTCAATCTCCCTCCACTGCTTGGCGTCCATGCCGCCAAATTCGCCACTTCCGAAGGGGGTGATGCTGAGGGCGAAAAGGTTGGCGATACACCGGGTGTTCTATCGGGAGATGGACCTGGTGACGGTTCGGGTGATGGTGGGTCCATGGCCCGGGCCAAGTCGCTTCCCGTCGACAAGGGCGTGTCGCTGGACAACACGCTGGCCATGTCGTCTGGCAAGTTGAACGGCGAGCCCAACAACTGCAGCATGTCCTCATTGTAGTCGTGCGTGGGCGAAGAAGGCAACGGCGACAGGGGCGGTAGGACGGGCGTATTCATCAGGAAGCGATTGGCAGCCCGTTCGGCCGTGGACGT